GTAGCTCAACAAGTTCATTCAGTGAGCTAGCTAATAATCTTGTTTTATGGCTTTTTCACTACCTAAGCCCTGATTGACTTAGTTCTTGAACTATAAATATTTATAATTCCACCCATCATGGAAACTTTGCAGGTAATGGAAGAATACTGATTTCCCAGTAAGTGCCAGCCCTTGCTTTTGGATAGTTCTGGGCATTCAAGTAAATAGCCTTCCTCTGTCAGCTTCCCTACATACATTGAAACAGAAATTCACTAGTTTCTCAAACACTTCTCTTGGTCTCCACACACTAAAATAGTACAGTGTGAAACTAGAATTTGTGGAAGTGTTAAACCGGATTTTGAAAGAAGTAGCCTCTTCTTCAGGAACAGAATGATTTAGACCAAATGAAGAAAATATTCTTACTTGGAAAATTTATTTGGGAGTTTGAAAAAGCAGATAAATGTCTTTCTTTTCCAGTCTATGAATTAAAAGGAGGGTGGAGATGAGATCTTCTACTTTTAAAAGTTTGAAGGACAATAACTTAGAATACTGTCTTCTTTAAAGAGACTTCTGACATCTAGGAACTTATGCTCAAGTCACTTTCATTTAGGCTAGGGGTGGGGAATCTCTTTTGGGTCAGGGGCTAGTAGATTTTGTGTGCTCCTGCCCTGTGGGGAGAGGGCAGTGAAGGGTACTGGAATATTAGCATGGGTTCCTCAATGCTGGGCGAGGGGGGCCTGATCTTGGATTAGACCAGTGGTTTTCAGCCTGACCCCAGGGGGTTTGCAGCTTGTCTTGAGATTTCCAGAGTTCTGCTTCTCCATTTAAAATTGTTTAGGGATTTGCAAATGAAAAAAGTTTGAAAATCTCTGATGTTTTGCATATTTGAGAATTTTCCTGGCTGACACGAAATAATCAGTTTAATTAACTGTTTACAACCAGGCCTGGCCTTGCTTAAATATATGTACTTACAGTATATATATCTAAGGTAACAAAAAGATGTATAGAATCTAGTATGTGTTCAATTTAGTTATAAATCAGTATATTTTTATGGTTATAACAACCAGTGTGAATGCATCTTGATTTAGAAAATAATTGAAATACAAAAATGGAAAAGTTCTTCTTTAATGAAGGCTTTTCCCTTGATCTAAAGTGCTGATTTAAATCACTCTACCGTGAAAGATTCCATATTGTCAAGTCTGTTTGCATATTAGTCCATGGTTTGTCAATGGTGTATCTGCTCCACAAAGGACTTGAACTTTCTTGAGTACTGTGGGGTAGAGGAGTTAACGTTCTGTGTTAGGTAGCCGAGTTAGTCTGTACTGGATAAACTTAAAAAACAACAAATAGTCGGGTAGAACTTTAAAGACGAACAAAACTATCATTTACATGTTTGGTTATTCTTTAAAGTTACCAGACTACTTGTTGTTTAAGTTCAACAAGAGGAAGTAAGTTTTGATACCTCATTGTCATAAACTGTGTACGTTTTCATGGCTACTAATGAATGACGGGAGGAAACTGATGGTGAGCATAAACATATTTTCCTACCTGTAGTCCTGTGGCACCTTAGAGATAACAAAAAGACATAGATGAGTTGGAGTTGTACCCATGTAAGCTCATAATTCTATATATTTTTGCTAGCCTCTAACTATCTAAGGTGCCACAGGACTACTCATTTTTAGTTACTAATGTGGCTACTCCTCTGAGACTTCCTAGCTGTGGCATTCACTAGTATTACAAAACTGAGAAATAGTAAACATTTTGGCTTTTCTGTAGGCAACTTATGTAGTTGCTCTCATAGAAAATTCTATAGTTCAAGTAATATAGGTAGAGATATCTCATTTTCTGTTTAGCATTTCTAGTGTGGAAGTGTCTGTATTGATCAATACAGGTAATCCCTGGTTTAAGGACATATGATTGATTGAAAGAGGCCTCTTAGGTCTTGTGGGTCCAAGTCCCTTACTCTCAAAGGCAACCCATTCATAAATGTATCAAGGTTCATTTTACAACTAGCTAAGTTGTTTGTGCTCCCTTCATTAGGATGCTTTTCCAGAACGTCACAGTTGATATTCATTTGTCCTGTGCTAACATTGCTGTTAAATATCTCTTCTCCTTCCCTGATATATTTACAGACCACAATCATATCCCCTCTCAGACCTTTTTTGCTTCAAAGCCTGAGCTCTTTTGGTCTTCAGAAGATAACTTTGCTGTTCTCTTTACCTCCAACCCCCAATCTTCCTTAGTAGCCCTTCTCTGATTTGTCAGTTTGAATTATTCTGACTTGAATTTGGGTGAGCAGATTGGTTTGCTAAAGCTCTACAGATCTAGGCAATGCAGCTGTGAAAGCTTTTCCATATGACCATTTTCTAGGAGAAATTAGTATAGAAGCTCTTCACTACATTTGTACTATCCCTGACCCCTCACCGCCCTACTGTTAAGTGACTGCAAGTTATGCAAAGTTAGTGGATAATTAACTTTGTTAATAATAAGAATTCCCCCGAGCACGTGACTAAGGCACAATAGGTTCATAATCAACAGTACACAGGGAGGGATATGGCTAACATCATGTCGTTGACTGCCCTAACCTGGGATTGGGTACCCATTTTGCAAGAGGGTGAATTGGAGGTAGCCTTTCAGTGTGAGCAAGATTCAGTCTAGGGATGTAATAGTGTAGTCAATTAACCAAAAAGCAGAAGCTTATAGGTTAATGCTATAGACTACCCGCATTTCCCTCTTCCCTCCTCCTCCCTCACCCTCCCTCCCCCGGCAACCAGTAAATTTTTTAGTAGGCTGGCAGCAGCCCGGCTCAGTTCTGGCTCATGCCGACTCTGGGACCTAACCCCTTCTGTGGCTCTGTATTTGAAGTGTATTAGGAGCTGGGTGGGTGGCCAGGCAGCCTGGCTCGGTTCCAGTTAGCGCTGGGTCTGATAGCTCAGACCCTCCCCCCAGATGGGCTGCTGTCACCCTGCACTGTTGCCTCTTTATCAGAGGCAGCAGCACAGGGCGACGAGCAGCCGGTCTGCAAGAGGAGCTGGTTTTTATACTGGCTCCTCTCGTGGACTAGCTCTCACCTGGCACCCTGCGCTGCTGCCAGTGCCGCTCCCAGGGACTATAGAATAGTCCACTAACTGATAAGAATTAATGAAGTTACTTGACAATTTTCAGGATTGCAGTCCAGTACTATAATCACTCAGTTGCCACACATGGTAGGATATTTACCTAATATATGGAACAATTTCTCCCTTAGATGGAATAGAGGTTCATTTACAACATATTGTCTTCTTCCAAGCACAATCTCTTTCTCAAGTCAGAGAAGAAAACCTGTGTATATTAGTCATGAATTGAAACTTATATTTGTCTAAAATCCAGGACTTGCTATATTTACTCCTGAACCAATGCCAGAAAACACTGCTACAGATCAAAAAGTGACATTTTTGAGATTTAAGATCTTATAACACACCTTTCAATCTTATCTTTCAGTGGGTGAAGCATTTTTAGCTTTAGCAGGTCATGTGCTAATGGACCTTAATGATGTAATTATGATTAAACCTGCCAGTCTTTTGTTTCCACATCCTGTCATTGATAGGGAAACTAGAAACAGAGATAGCGTATCTCACTTGTTAGTAAACTCTTTAAGCACTCAAGTTCAATCAGTTATGGAAGAACAAGTTATAACAAAATGCTTTGTAAAAATTACTTAACAAAGGTAATGTAGCACTCCTTATACTGACGACAATATGCAACTCTTGATTTTTTTTCTTAAAACAAGCTACTGGTCATGTCCTCATTTTCCAGTAGAACACACATTAAGTCTCCAATCCTAAAAGCATTTATTTTTGTGAGTTGTTCCCTTGACTCATTTGAGTTCATCAGAAGTCATTTATAAAACTCTGTGGCTGTGTCTACACTGGGCCACTTATTCCGGAAAAGCAGCCGCTTTTCCAGAATAAGCTGCGAGCTGTCTACACTGGTAGCTTGCTTTTCCGGAAAAGCAACGACGATCTACTGTACAAAATCAGCCGCTATTCCGGAAAAACTATTCTGCTCCCGCTCGGGCATAAGTCCTTATTCCGGAACACTGTTCCGGAAAAGGGCCAGTGTAGACAGCCCAGTAGTCTTTTCCGGAAAAAAAGCCCCGATCGCGAAAATGGCCCGGAACACTGTTCCGGAAAAGGGCCAGTGTAGACAGCCCAGTAATCTTTTCCGGAAAAAAGCCCCGATCGTGAAAATGACACTCGGGGCTCTTTTCCGGAAAAGCGCGTCTACATTGGCCACAGACGCTTTTCTGGAAAAAGGGCTTTTCCGGAAAAGCAACAATGCTCTACTGTACAAAATCAGCCGCTATTCCGGAAAAACTATTCTGCTCCCGCTCGGGCATAAGTCCTTATTCCGGAACACTGTTCCGGAAAAGGGCCAGTGTAGACAGCCCAGTAATCTTTTCCGGAAAAAAGCCCCGATCGTGAAAATGACACTCGGGGCTCTTTTCCGGAAAAGCGCGTCTACATTGGCCACAGACGCTTTTCTGGAAAAAGGGCTTTTCCGGAAAAGCAGCCTGCCAATGTAGACACTCCTTTTCCGGAAAAACTGAAAACGGAATAGTATTCCGTTTTAAGCATTTTCGGAAAAAGGTGCCAGTGTAGACGTAGCCTTTGTGTGCAACATCAAGGCATTAAAACTTTGGGATAGAGAGTTGTGTGTTTTAAAAGTAAAGTGTCTATCCTCATTCTCTTTCACAATTTTGCCCTGTGGTTTAGAGGTTTTTTTTAATTAATGGATCAATAGGTTATATTTACTGATTTAGTTGTGTTTCCTGGTCTTCTGTAGCCTTTTCAGTCACCCAAAATGTTCCATTTAGTTGTCTAATTGGAACCTGAGGGAAGACAAATTACTTGAAATAATTTTTTAAAGTCATTAACGGAGTGCATAAACACATAAAAACATGCTTTTTTTTACTACCCTGCATTATATTCTAGAAATATGAAGCTTTACTTTTTAGATCTTCATGGTCTTTTAAAATAACATGTAAGGGTAAACTAAACCTATCTAATATTTCACTCTATTTTTCCGTGTTACGAGACTTTAAAAAATAGTTTCTGTGTTTTTCACAGGTTTAACCTCATTTTTTTCCTGCAAACTGTTCATCAAAATGAGACTGGTAATTCTTGATGACTATAATTTGGCAAGTGAATGGGCAGCAAAATACATTTGTAATTGTATTATCCAATTCAAACCAAGTCAAGGAAGGTATTTTACCCTTGGTTTACCAACAGGTAATACTTTTTTTTTATTGTAAACTCATGTAATTCATTAATTACAGAAATGTTTGGTGTCTAGTTAGCCACAGCAATAAAGATCTTAGATATTAAGTAGGTACTTAATTGCATAAAAGTTCAAACATGCCTAATTCAAACTTTCAAACGTTATAGTTCTGTAATATTGTGTATTTCAGTATGTCATAGTTTTAAAAAGTGAAAAAAACTTCACTGGGTCTTCTGAGAAGAAGGTAAGGTTTTTTACAACTGTAATATGGAATGGACACTTGAGTTTACAAACTACAGTAGATTTCTGATAGTCTGGCACCTTTGGGACCTAGGTGGTGCCAGACTATCTGATATGCCAGAGTATCAGGAGGTACTGCATACTCCCAACCCAATCCCCTCCACCCCCTCTCCCCCAGCCTTATGCTCAGGTCCCCGGAGCTGCCAGTACAACCATGCATCTCCCTCCAGGCACTGGGACACGTGTGCTGAGTGGTCGGCTTTTCAATGAGCTGGCTGGGACGTGCATAATCCGATCCCTCTCTCCCTCTCCCCTTCCCCAGAGCCAATCACCTCCCATCTCTGCTGTAACCCAATCTCCCTCCCCTTCCCTAGAGCCAAACACCTCTCCTCCCTGCTGTAGCCCACTTCTCCCTTCCCCCCGAACCTTATGCTCGGGTCCTGGAGCAGCCGCATGTCTCCCTCCAGGCGCAGGGGCACGTTTGCTGAGCGGCCGGCTTTTCAATCAGGCTTTTACATAACCCAATCTCTCTTCCCTCCCCCCGCCCTTCCCAGACCCAAACACCCTTCTTCCCTGCTATAACCCACATGAGAGCGGCTAACCTGAACAGTTTCGGGTTATGTCCTGGTTCCATCAGGAGCGCTTGCCATTTTGATGCTGGACTATCAGGAGTGACGGACAATTGGGTGCTGGACTATTGGAGTTTTACTATTGGAGATACGTAAGAGTAGGTTAGATAAATGTCTATCAGGGATGGTCTAGACAGTATTTGGTCCTGCCATGAGGGCAGGGGACTGGACTCGATGACCTCTTGAGGTCCCTTCCTGTCCTAGTATTCTATGATTCTTCTGTAACTTGGTAGCAGAATTCAACTTATGAAGGGTTTATGCAAGTGTTTCTGAGCCTTTTTAAGACCGAGGAACACCAAACAATATTTTTTTAATGAGGAACGCCAAGGATTTTTTTGTTGAACCAAAAAAAAAGCGGCTTGCCCCTTTAAGGGCAGCCATTCCCAGGGGAAAGTTGTTGAGCAGAGCAAAACAAACAAAAAAGGACGTGGAAAAGAAGTTAAGCAAAAAAAAACCCCGAAACAGTTTGCCCTTTTATCAGGAAAGCAGTCATTACCCTTTTAAGGGCGGCCATTTTGAACTCTGCTTTCCACGGCACACCTCCAACTGCCTCGCAGCACTCTAGTGAGCCGTGGAACAAACTTTAAGAAACCCTGGTTTATGTTGTTCAGCTTTGCAAATACATCTAAAAATGGCTTAGTGGCATACAAAACATCAGACTAATAAGCTTATTTTATACAGGGAGCACACCTTTGGGATGCTACAAAAAATTGATAGAGTATCACAAGAATGGAGATCTCTCTTTTAAATATGTAAAGACTTTCAATATGGATGAATATGTAGGTAAGTTATATTTCAAATATTAAGAAATACTGCCTATTCTGATAACTATATTCTGCATTAAAATGATAAATCATCTTCCTGAGGTTTGAATAAAGCACAGGACTGAGAGTTATGAGATTCAGGCTTTGCTGCAAGTTTTGTATAACTCTAGGCTAGGGATGTAAGCAAGCTGTCTACTGCCCAATAAGCATATGCTTACCAGGTAGTCGAGTAGTGTCTCGAATACTTGCTTCTCCCCGTCCCTTAGTGCCTCTGTCAGAGAGAGGAAGCAAGCGGGGGGGAGCAGGAGCCGGTGGTGCTGGGGGGAAGTGGCTTAAAAACTGGTTCACCCCAGCACTGTCTCCGCAGGAGGGCAAGGGGAGACAGAGGCACAGCAGGGAAATGGTGCGAATGGGGACTAAAGCAGTCTCTGTGCGTGCCGGGTCTCTCAAAAGCACTACAGGGTTCTTGCTACATTTTAAAGGCAGAAGTGCAGCAGTTGGAATCCAGGGCGAGCAGGGACTGCTTGAGTCTCCACTCGACCTGTGTTCCCGCTGCTCTTCTGCCTAGAAATGTAGTAAGAACCCTGAGTGGCTCTTAATACATTTAAAAGGCAGAGGCACAGCCAGAATAGCGAGCGCCCCACCTTCCCCTTATCAACTAATCGAGTAGTCAAAGGAAATTCCATCGACTACTCGATTAACTGAGTAATTGAAATTTAATATCCCTACTCTAGGCAAGTCTCTTTAGCCTCCATATCTCAGTGTCTTTATCTTCAAAATCAGAATAATAGTTAAGTAGATGTTGATGCTAAATTCAGTATTTGTGAAGTGTTCTGAAGAAGTTTTCATAAGAAAGTTTCAAAATGGATTTTTGGGCCAAATTTTTTCTTTATTATATTTTGTATAGTTGTATGTGACTATGCCAAGTGAGTTTAAAACACTATTCACTCTACACTGGTGTATTCATAAGGTGCATGGAAATGGAAAATCATATGCAGTCTACAAAATGCTTCCATTTATTTGATTGGTGAGACTAGATTTAAGAAATGCACTGTACATTTCTTGCCCACTATGTTTTTCTATAAAACTGGAAGTTCAGTTTTAGTAAAATCTATTTACATTTTGCTTTAAATGTTGTTTCCAGGGCTTCCAAGAAATCATCCAGAGAGTTACCATTCTTATATGTGGAATAACTTCTTTAAGCATATTGACATAGATCCTAATAATGCTCACATCCTTGATGGGAATGCTCCAGACTTACAAGCAGAGTGTGATGCATTTGAAAAAAAAATTGAAGAAGCCGGGGGAATCGATCTATTTGTTGGAGGTAGGAGAAACCTTTGTAGAAGTGATAACTTGTCACTGTTTTAATACATTATTGAATCATTTCACGTCACTTCCAAAACTAAAATTGTGTTTTATTTTGAAGCAGATAGTATTAGATACCTCCCTGTCTTACACTAACATGGAGAATCAGTTTGAACCTGAAATTATAGTATTGTTAGTATCCAAATTTTAATAACTAATTAATTTAATAATATACCAGTTTTGACTCCTGCCTTTATTTTCATTTGTAAGTTAGAAAATTCAACCACAAATCTTTTCTTAAATATTTTGTAGTCTTCTCAGGAAATCTGAATAATTGTTTCTGTTTTTTGTGTGTCTTGTAAAGGCATTGGTCCAGATGGCCACATTGCTTTCAATGAACCGGGATCAAGTTTAGCTTCAAGAACAAGATTAAAGACTTTAGCAATGGACACTATTTTGGCAAATGCTAAGTACTTTGATGGAGACTTATCTAAAGTTCCAACTATGGCACTAACAGTTGGTGTTGGTACGGTGATGGACGCTAGAGAGGTAAGAAGTCATTGTTAGTTTAATTTGCATGTGTCCATATTCAGGACACCAAGCAAAGCTTCATCAGTATAATTACATGCAATCATAATTAGAATTAATGCAAAGATCTTGAAGGAATAAATAACCAGTTAACAATATATTCTTGAAATTGATTTTAATAAGCTTTTATTTATTATTTAGAGGTTTATTTCAGCTAGGCATTTGGTAGTAAGTGATTATTACAAGTTTTTGTGGCTGCTTTATATTATTATGAATGAATACATTTCTTAATAGTGGGAGTAGTGTACATTCTTTATAGTGAAACATGTCAACAGTAGACTCACAACATTTAGGTGATCCATTAAGAAGGCCCATAGCGAATAAAGGATCTTTTTTAATAGTGCCTGATTTTTTCTGAGTTTGGGGTTTTTATTTATGCCATTACTAATAATACTGTGCTCTTCCAAAGCAGTACTGAACCAATTCTCCATTATTGGATTGTGTATGTGGGGAAAGTATTCTCTTTGATAGAGAATTTAAACCAATATAATACTGGCATCACTCCGACATATTATAGTATTCTGGGATTTTTTTCAGTTTAGCTTTTGTTACTTTAGAAGAGGTTTAGTCTACTCTATACCACAGAGGAGCACACTTACAGCAGAAAGAATATGTCAGTATAACAGTTATACTGGTATGATTTTAATCTGTATAATTAATCAAATTGTCATGTTGAGAGCACTGTGCTTTTTGGAGATCTCTTGCAGATGAGATTTTAAATTGAGATCCTGATCACTTATATATAACTATAGTACCTGTATAATTCTTCATTCAAAAATGTCTAAAGGTCTTGGATATATTTTCATGTATATGATTTACCTAAATTTACCCTGTAATTGTAATAGGAAGTTATAGAACTGTAACTGACGACATTGGTCCTTCCTGTAACATCTGAAACTGTTGCTTGGATTTCTTGTGCAACTGTTATCGTTTCTTCCTCGGGATGGCCGTTTCAGTAATGACTAAACTAATCATATGTATAGTTTCTGTATTTTTTTAAGTCCCATCTAGTTTTATTTTATAAAAAAAATGCTGTAAGATATTTTTTGTTACAAGGAAGATTTGTACAGCGATCTCTGGAACTGTGAATTAAGTGTTGTCCAGTAATGTGTTCCATGTCCTTGTTGGCATGGATTATTGAGACAATAAGTACATTACTGGTAGGGTTACTAGAACTTGATCAGCTTTTACAGATCAGCTTTAGTAACTGTATAGTTAAAGTAGCTTCAGGGGGTAGCCAAGTTAGTCTGTTACAGAAAAAAACAACAAATGGTCTGGTAGCACTTTATAGACTAACAAAACATGTAGATGGTATCATGAGCTTTTGTGAGCACAGCCCATTTCTTCAGATGACTGGAGTTGCTTGAAAGTCTAAACCAAAGGAATTTTCTGGCATACTTCTGGCTTTCACTACACACAATAATAAATAATAATAATAAACAATGAATACTTTGAGTAGTTCAGTGTTATGTTGTATGGTATCTAAATGCATGTATGTGTCACCTTGAATGGTGCGCTTGTGGAAGTTGTTGACTATTAGGTATCACCATTTTTGGCTGATATCTCGTAAGTGTGGGATCAAGTGGAATCATTTTGGTGCTTGGATATTAGCTATTATGGTGCACATGTTAAAATATGAAGGTAAATATATTTTTTCTGTTAAAAGTAGTAGGTGGTCAGTAGAGAATATGTAAAAGAACTGTTCATCTTTTCAATACTATAGGATTCCATTAGCTAAGCAGTACAGGTTGGACCTCCCTCATCCGGCACCCTTGGGACCTGACCCATCCCGAATGAGAGAATTTGTCAGATCAAGGGAAGTCCCTGCCACCAGCATCCCAGGATGCTCCCTCTCCCTGTGGCTGGCCCCATTCCGGCCCCACTGCCACTGGCTCCAGCCTGCAGAGCTTGGACTTGGGCACTGGCCCACTGTGGCTCCCCAGGAGCAGAGCTTCCCTGCAATCGCTGCAGCTTCACTTCTCCTCTGCCTGACCAAGAATCCCCAGGGACAGGGCTTGCTGACTGCCTGTCTCTGCCATGCTCTGTCGAGGATCCTCGGGGATGAGGCTTGCTGATTGCCCCGCTTCTGTTGCGCTATGCCGGGGGTCCCTGGGGACGAGACTCGCCAGTCCCACTCCTGCCCTGCCTGTCTAGGGCTCCTCGGGTATGGGATTTTGCTCCTGGGCACCGGGGCTCTTTGATCCAGCAAGATCCGTGGTCCTGCGAGACCGCAGATGTTGGACCAGAGTGTCCCAGATTTTGGAGGTTCAATCTGTAAGTAATAACTGATTTGGGAATTTAAGGTAAATTGAAAACTCACCCTCTTTATGTGTGTTTGTATTATCTACCAGGTTATGATTCTCATAACAGGTGCCCATAAAGCTTTTGCCTTGTACAAGGCAATTGAAGAAGGGGTCAATCATATGTGGACAGTTTCTGCTTTTCAACAGCACCCCCGAACTATCTTCGTATGTGATGAAGATGCTACTTTAGAATTAAGAGTTAAAACTGTGAAATACTTCAAAGGTGAGCACTGATTTGAAACAGAATAGGTTCTCTGTGTGACTAATCAGTTAAAAATGGCTGGGGGTTAAATCCCTGTCTCCAAGTGCACCATGTACAACTAAAAACAGTTACCATATTCAAATATGAAATGTTGAACTTAGTATTTGAATATGTTACAGTGGCTAATGGACTTAACCTCATTCCTTTCATGCAGGAAACAAAGTACATGATCCTTCATGTACAGTACATTTTCTTTGAATGGAAACTGTTTCCTTTGTCACTTGCAGTTTGCTCTATTGGCCATATATTCTTCAACAGCACTTTTTGGAAATGTGACTTTAGAGGATATAGCTTGTTGCTTTCAGAAGTGTTGATTTTAGAATTGCTGGAAAGTAAAATTTGGGTTATAGAAAACTTGATAAATAATGAAGGTTAATTCTGTATCATTTCAAACGGCTGCTTCTGCTATGATTTTCTGTATTTGCCATTTTAACTTATTTCTCATGCATTGTTCGGTGAACTAGAATTTTGGAAGTTTCTAAGGCCAAAATGTAAGCCTTTGAAATCACTTGTGAAGACGTTTTGGCTACCATATATTTTGCATAACTGAATCTTGTGCACTCTAAATTGGGTGGACAATGAGGCTGTGTCTACACTACAAAGAAAAGAATCTGCAATTTGCATATTTTTTTCTGCTTTTCCTTCAGAAGAGGCTTTTTCGAAATTTGGTGTATCTACATGGTGCCAAATTTCGGAAAAACGTCCTCTTTTGGCACAGCCCTTCTTTCTCATATAACAAGGTTTACAGGGATGGCAAAAGAACGTGTCCCCTTTTCTGAATTTTTTTTTCGAAAAGCGAACGTGTTCCTTGGACATAGCATAGCTTTTCCAGGATACCAGAGGTATCCCGGAAAACAGCTGCAGTGTAGATGTAGCCTCAGTGACTCATGGGCTGGACAGAGTTCACCTGGGTTAGCCCCCGGTGGGCTGACAGACCTCTTGATCCACAGGTCTGGTTGCTCGCAGCTCTCATTGGCTGTAGTTTGCTGTTCCCAGACAATGGGAGCTGTGGGAAGTGGTGGCCTGGCTGTTCTGCTTCCCACAGCTCCCAGGATACTTTTGGTGAACTGCGTTCAGCCTGTTGGCTGCTTATTGTTCAGCCCTGGTATGTAATCTAATGAGATCCTTATATTGATTTTACATGTATCAATAATTATATCAAGTATATTGAGTTTAAAGTTGTTTTCTTATCACTAATTTCACTGCCTTGTTTTTGTATGAGCCTTAATGCATTTTCAACGAGTGCCTTTTAAAAATTACACGAATTACATAAACTGCTGCTGCTAACAAAGATTGTTTCACACCAATCAGGCTTGTTTTATTGTTCTCTCTTATTATGCTATGGATTTTGAGGATAAGACATTCATGTAATTAATTTTATGGTAGATAGAAACTGAAGTTTCTTTATTTTTTGAACATCTTTCTTGGACACTTACTATTTTGAGATGTCTATGAAATCTGGGCTACTGGCTTTTTTACTTGAATTGAAAATATTCTTTTTTTCTTCTTCCAAACAAATAATTCTATGTATACTGTCAATTTAAGAAAAGAAGGCCACATTTTGGGATTTCCACACGCTACTCTGTTTTCTTTTTACCACAGTTATCATCAGTAGCTCGTTTTTTGAATTAATTTATGAGTATCTCGTTGCTCTGAGTATATTTTGGCTATATGTTGAAAAAGTAAATTTAGTGCTTAACAGTGTTGAACTTCTATTGAATGTAATTTCTTATCACTAGTCTGTAATCTAGAATTCTAGTCAAGATTGCTTGGGCACATAATGAATACTAAAACTTGACTCAAAGCCATAGTTAGAGCAAGCTCTTGATAAATGTGTCACTTACAAACTTATAACTAAATTTAAGACGTTAATGAAAACACTGCATTTATATATAAAAATGCACATATATGTATGAATATGTATTCATACTTAATTGTTAGGTTACACTATAATGTATTTGCTTCTTTAAGTATTTTTTAAAAAACATCAGTCATGTTAAACTTACTACTTGTCGTAACCTCAACTAGTATGGGAAGAGACAGGTAGACTTCTGACTCAGGCCACTGAGAAAAGGCAGTGTCAGCCAGGATTAGTAATTAGTCCTGATCTTCAGATCATTAACTCTTTTCAGGTCCTCAAGATATGTTTAAAAAATGAATATCCTGTTTTAGTTACCTACCGTTCTTTCACCATCTTCAAAGCTTTCAGACATTTTGCAAAATTTCAGCTATGTGCAAACTCTAGCACAGTAACTCTGCCAATATTGTGTATCGAAGTAGTTAACAGTAACTGGAATAGCTAGATCTTATTGTAGCCCCACATCCTCTTTTCACTCATTCATAACTTTTCAGTACCTTACCTTTTGGCCTGCTATCTTCCATACTTGGTGTCTAACAATATTTGTTGAAAGCACATGTGTAGGAGGAAAGGAAAGCTTTCATATGCTTTTTCTGTAGAATGAAAAAACTTGATGTATGCCCAAAACAAATAACCAGACTATTTTAATCTGGATACAGCAACATCAGTTAAACTGTGAAAACTGACAGCAAATAATTTTCAGAGGAGTGGAGTGAATGCTTCAAGTTCTTAAACTTTTAAGAGCACTTCTAAAATTTGTACCATCTGCATCTGTGGGATACACACTTTAGGAAAGATGGAGGAAGGTGCCTGCACAATTTAAGGTATTTTATTCTTTCCAAAAGAGGTTAACAGGCAGTACACTATCCAGTTGTTATATTTCACTTGGACATAATCCAACCTACCCAGTAATGTAGGCCTTTCCTCCTACTCCAGGTAATGTTTTAAAAGCATAACCATTTGGATCATCTGTTTGAAATACATTGGGCATTGAATCCCAGAATTCAGTGGGACTTGTAAAATCTAGGAAACCTGAAATCTATCATCAAAAAGTGGGTCCCCAGCCAATACCTGTTGGGAGGGTGATCCTGATGCTAAACTCTTGCTCCTTCCTCTGTGGAGAATGGATATTTACTCTCATTTGATATGTGAAGCTTGTAAATATAAGACTTGTGCCTCTGAATGTACTCTCACTGAAATGCATATCTACTAATGGGGAAATTGAATATGCTTCATAAAAGCACCGGTATAGTACTTACCAAAATTTGTGCCTCCAGGAAATACAGATGAGTGTGTGTGTGTATGTGTTCTTTCCCCACTTTTTTAGTAAAAGGAAACCAGGACGTCAAATGCAAAAAATATAAATGCAACTTTAAAGTATGGTTCTGTTCTAAAGGACAACACGCAGTCAAGCTGTGGAACTCATTACCGGGGATATTGTGAAGACCAAAATTTATAAAAGCATTCAAAAAAGAATTAGATAAGTTCATGGAGGATAGATTTGTCAATGGCTATTGGTCGAGATGTAACACCATGTTCTGAGTGTCCCTAGCTGCTTGCCAGAAGCTGGGAATGGATGATAAGGGATGGATCGCTCTATGATTGCGTGTTCAATTCATTCCCTCTGAAGTACCTGGTATTGGCCACTGTTAGAAGACAGAATACTAAACTAGTTGGACCATTGATCTGACTCAGTGTGACTGTTCTTAAGTTTTTAAAAGTGGTTGTCTGCCGTTGCGGGTTTCCCTCTGTATCATGCATCTTTTGTACCAAATGTATTCAGTTACCATGCTTCTAGTTTATTTATTTATTTAGCTGCTTACCCTACAACCTGTAGCCTTGATTGTGGGCTTGACTTTTTCCATTTCTCACCTCCACTGTCTTCAGACAATGTAAAATATATACTACCTTCCTTGGGTTTACACATAAAGAGCCAAATGAAGCTGAGTAAATAATTCTCTTAAGGCTAGATCTTTCACTCTGTGTCCTAATTGTATTGGTGAAAAAAGTTATCATAAACGAAAATTTGCTATTAAATGAATAGATGACTCTGAGTGACATTGGGAGCAGATGCTGTGTAAGGAGTTCTTCAATATGATTCCTTTTGCATAATAGAACATTCATGTTACTATATCTGTAGTAACAGTTAATTGAGCACTTCATATGCACATAATATACAGGTAGTCCCCGGGTTATGTACAAGATAGGGACTGTAGGTTTGTTCTTAACTTGAATTTGTACTTAAGACGGAACTGGATAGTATCTGAGGGACTCGTTGACAGTGACCAGGAAATGGGCAGTTGTGCCTATTGGTTACAACAGGACTGAGAAGCCAAAACCAAGTGATAAAGCCCAAGTGAGAAATTGGAGCAAAGGATCAGAGCCAGGTTACTGGTAGTGAAGAAGGTAAGGACATGGATGGGTTCAAAGCGGGGCCAGGTGCTACCACAGCAGTGGGTGAATGGGTGACTCATGTTATCAGGCAATCTACTACAGGACAGCTCTGCTCATTAAGTTGCCTGCCGACTGGTTCTACTACACTCACAATCTTTAATGTATTAATCTTCATGGCAAAGTAGGAAAGCATTGTCGGCCCTCATTTTACAGATGGAAAACTAAGTGATTTGCCCAAGGTTATACAGAAAGTGTATGGTAGAGCAGGGACCAAGACCCAGATCTCCCATATTCTTCCCCTCACATACACACAAAAACATGCCATTTCATGAAACCACCCAAATCAAACTCATCATACACAGTTTGGTCTAAGTTTGGCCCCAGCGGCTCTACCACAGGCGTCCGCAAGAAAAGCCAGGCTTTGCTCCGTGTCTCCCTGGTCTGCTGGGGGGGGGGCAGCTTTTCTCGCCCCGGAGGACGCGGGCTGCGGGACCGCGGCGCGTCTGGGCGGTCCTGCCGTCCGCATCCTCCGGGGCGAGAAAAGCCACGTTTGTAAGTACGGAGCTGACATAAGTCGGATCTGCATAACTCGGGGACCGGACCGCCTGTATTGTATATTCTTGATCTTTCAGGTCATTGGTCTTTGTTCTGAGAGTCTGAGATCATGGAGGTGTAGTAATAAACATCTTCCGTTAGTAATCTTAAAACTCAGGCTGTTATAAACATATCAAAGCATTGTGTAATCTGAATTTCTTGTGGTGAAAAGCTTTGGATTAAGAGACTCATGCGACAATATTGCAAACACTCGTTAACTTAAACACAAATACACAGATGCTTTTGTTGGTCTTTTTATAAGTTTCTACTTGAAACTGGAACTTTGTTTTAAATAATGGACTTGCATGCATATCTAATAATTGATTACAGAATTGTTACATTCCCAATTCATAGCCCTATTTAGTTCATTTGTAAGTATTACTGGGATAATGTCTAAGAATAACTCAGGAATAGCATGTTACTGCTTCTGCCTAACTGAATTAATAGCTAGCTGCCTGTATAGAGCTTATTTGGCCTTATGAGCGCCCATTTGTGTTTTCTCTATTTCAATCCATAGTATTAATGAATATACCTATGTGAAGTAAAATCAGCAAATAAACAATCCAGATAGAAAATGTATGCTGATAACTAAGTAAAACTGGCACTGTTGCTTTTTCCCCCCTTAAGGTTTAATGCATGTTCACAATAAACTTGTGGACCCACTGTACAGTATGAAAGAAGAAAACTGAAGAAGGAATTGAGGAGGTACTCCATGTGGGTAAACAAAACAACATTTTTAGGTAGCAGACAAAAATACTGCTATGCATATATGCTGAAAGCTGGCTAAAATGGGGAATCTTAAGTACTGTATTTTTTTAAAACAATCCAGTATCTGTACATTCACATTCCATATCTGTGCAGTGTTGTATTCATAGAATCAGTGTTGTATTGTGCATTTTGTTTTAATATTTTGTAGTTGTGATTTCATTGGCAGCCACAGTAAGTAAACAAGAACAGAGCAAATATAAAGGGAAGTTGCATACTATGAGAAATAATAAAATCAGCAGCATACTCTTAGCACAGCAATGTATGGTTTACATGGAAGAAAATTACACTTTAGCTTAAGCATCATTCTCTGGCTCCAACAGTGCAAAATACACTTCTCATTTTCTGTATCCCAGTACAGGCACAATGCTTTTGGCCTTTCACATGTTAAACATTATGGACTTGGACTTGTAACAGATGCACAACTTTGGTTATGAAGTGCACTGTTTATATCTAATACACATTTTGCATTTTGGTTGCCTTAAATTAATCTTATGCCAATAGTTTCTGGGCATTTAAGTCCGATTGTACAATATTCAAGCAAATAATGGTATGGAAACAGTGCCTAAAACTGAAATAGACCCCTTCAAACTGTTACAATAACTTATTCTTCAATTATGTGCATATTGTACTTCTGCCATAGCACTTTTGTTACACGTTTAAAGTTTATTTAAGAATTTATATTTTGGGAATTGAGCTCGGATTTGAGCTCTATAGATAATGAATACATTCAATATGTTCCTCTTTGGTGATTGTCTAGTTACATTAATGATGTTGTAATCGAAAAACTGTAAAGAGGGGAAAGGAGTTAAATGCAGTAAGTTAATACCTAAAAATCCAAATGGCTGGAGTTGAAACAAGAGATTGTAAACAATTGCTTTAGATTACTAGCCATTACTTTGCATCGGAGATTGGTATAAATGCTGAACTAAGAATGCTACTCTTTTCTACTGTTACACCAAGTAAAGTTGAAATTCACAAAAAGATTACATTTGTTTTGTTTTTGATGTCAACTGTGGTCTGAGAATAAACATTTCAGGTTTCAAAAACAGGTTTGGTGAAAGGGTATTTTGTGCCTTTTTATAGGTGTGGGCAAAATTAACATTGTGCCAAACCAGCTCCTTCATGCCAGCAGTAAAATTCCCTTTTAAAAATCCATGGAAAGAGATGGACTGACCATGATGGTATGTTCCTCTTTGTGTAGTATAACATTTAAATAGAAGTCTTCACTTTCAAAATAGCATTTTCTTTAGTGGAAAAAAGTGAAATCCATTATTTAACCATAAACTTACCATAAATGTGGATTTGTTTAATAAGCTTTGAGCTGTAATTTTTTTCTACCTGTCTCCTTTAAACACATACCTAAGTAAAAACTGGATATTGATATTTGATTTTCCTTTTTGATATTTTTATCAGCTTTGTTAGCCATAGTTATACTGAAACTAAACACAAAATAACCTTTCCTTCTGAAGTGCAAGTGATTCATATTTTGAATTCTCTGTTTACTGGACTGACTGAAGAATCCTACTAACTCTTCCAGAAAGACTTATCAGTGTGATCCAGCCTATGATGACCTGTGTGAGAGAGATTTCAGGATTTCACATGCTTAGTAGATGAATGCTGCAATAGTAAAAAAAAAAAAAAATCTATTACTGGTCAAAGAGCTGCTGACATACATACACTTTTTTCCTAAAATCACAGCCAGTGAAGACAAGCTGTGTAATGCTGTGAACTAAATTAATTTTAATTTTACATCTGACAATACTTTCTCAGAGTAATAGTAACTTGATATGTTTGCTTTATAGCTATAATTAAGCCTGATCTATCTTTTGGTATTGTTTGAATTAAAGCAGAAAGCCATATGTAATCTTCCTCTAAACTGTTCACTCTAAAACAAGTTTGGTAATTGCACCAGCTTGTTTACAGTCTTTTCAAAGGACACTTATCTGTGTTTGTCTGGACTTCAATATTTAGCTGGAGCTAAGTACAGAATAGTTGGCTTTTTACCAGTAAGAAAAGGCTCTGCAAGTGATGAGCTGTGCAGCCTGTCTGCCCCGCTTAAAGGATGTTAAGGAATTCATTGCTGTATGTGCAATAGTTTCCTAAACTGTTCTGAAGTTGTTCCTAACCCTATGATCAATAACATGGCGTATATCCTACTATTTTCTGAATGGATATGCTGCCTCAACTAGTCCACTTCCCCCTATGCCAGCAAAACAGGCTATCCACTCCTACTCTTTCAGCGGGTGGCTCAGTGGAAAGTAATGGCAGGATGGTTTTAACCAC